TATATATATAAGAATATTTTTTTTTTCTGTTAGATGAATGGTTTTAAACATTATGAAATCCCTCATGTTTTATCACATGGCCTAATCTCTTTAGGATTGTTATTCTGTCTGTATAATTTTGAAGATTTAATAAGATTTGAGTAAATAAAAATAAATTAGGAAAAGTAAGGGAAGGAAATTCGGTGTGGTGGTACAAGCTAGGGAAGTATATTGTGAATACTACATCAAAGATTAGGTCTCTCCTTGACATTCTAAAGCACTCTCCCTCAATTCCTTTCCCAATCAGTATCTTAAAATTACATTATTCTCTCATTTCTACTTATGACTGGTGGCAAATGATGTACAAATACTATAGAGTTGGTGACTAGGTTGTCTGAGTTAATTATATAATTTCTATATCATAACTCTCTCCTTATATTGTCATAAAATATTTAAATATGATAATGAAAAAGGAATGCATATTGACCACAAATGACACATGGCCTACTGTTTTCATTTATATAAAATGGAACATTATACAGATTATTTATACAAATGTTATATTCTGTCAATATAAAAGATGACTTTAATACAGTGAAAACCTATTATAGAATTAAGAAAGGTTGAAAACTCTGCTGATTTGTGTTTTTTGAAAGAAATCAGATCACATGTTTGTAATATTTGGACCTGAACAAGGGGTTGCCATGATTTCAATGAGGGTAAATAATAAACATAAAGAATTAAAGTTTCAACCTCTGCTGAAGTTTTTACATCAATCTCATGGGAAAATTCTGAGTCAAGAATATAATTAGTCATTGTGAATAACACAAAGGAGTAAGGGCAGGGGTTTGCCAGATTTAAGTCCCAATAGCCACTGGGTGAAAATAAAATGTGTTGTACTATAGTTTATGTGTCAAAGATGAGGACAGAAATATTCATCTCAGGTAAGTTTCCTAGTGACCGTTTGATTGATATAGGAAACATAAAAGTGATTTCATACCACCAATGAGGAATAATTATTGAGGAATGTGGAAATGAATACTATAAAGTCTTAATTAAACACAATCTATTATTTATGGACAATAATATTTTATTTCATAACTGTGAATTTGTCAGAAACCAGTTTTGTATGAAAGGTCTAGAGATATTTTTACTTATCTTTTATCTAGAAATTTTAAGGTTTTTTAGAATCATTTTGAATGTGATGTGCGGCATGCAACCTCGATTTTATTAAATGGAATAGTACATACAAAAATATTAACACATTCATTCAGCTATTATAGAAACATATTATATTAAGTCTAGAAACAAAAGTCAGATTACCAACACATTTTAATTGTTTTTTGAGACAGGGCCTCCCTATAGCCCCAGGTGGTCTAGAATTTGGTGTGCTGACCAGGCTGTATGGAATCTCACAGACATCTCTCAGCCTCGATCAGTCCCCAGAGTACTGGGATTAAAGACATGTGCCACCACACCCAGTTTCACATTCAAATTATTATATACCAAAAGAGAGACAAATATAGAAACAGTTCCTGACATGCACACATAAATATAAACATAAATGCAAGAAATCATATCCTCTACACCTCACAAACATTTCTTCTGTTCCTACATTTTCATTTTAATAAAAAAAATTCAAAAGTAGTGACAAGCCACTGTGTTTATTATAATTTGTTTGTATACTTCATTTACATGTGTTTAGGTTTTATGTTTTGGGTATACCCACAAGCACGTGTTCAGGTGCTCAGGCACATGTGTTCTTTTTTCTTGTGTAGGCACGTGTGTTGAGATTGGTTGTCTTCCTCAACTGCTCTCCTTATATATCGAGGTAAAGTCTATCATTGGACCCAGAGCTCACCATTTCCTTTAGAATTCCTATCCTTTCTGCACCAATAATCCTGCCAATGTATCCCCAGCCTTGAGATTACAGGCTGGTAGCCATGCTGACCCAGCATTTACATGGAGCAGGGATCCGAGCTCCAGTCCTTGCACTTGGGTGCCAGGTACTTTACCCACCCACAGAGCCATCTTTGCAGATCCTCTTTTAATTTTTTTCACAAGACAGTTTTGTTCTTTTCAAGGGATTCACACTAAAGAATTGCATGAATTTCATGAAAAGATAGCAAAATTCCAAGCCAAGCTGTAATGACAAGTGATAGAATGCTTCAATAAAACTGCTTTGACTTTTAACTAAACCTTGACATTAAATTGTTATAAAAACACTTGCAATGTACTAATTAATGTGCAACATGATTAGCTGAAAAATGTGTTAAATATTTTATTTATTATTTTTTATTTTATATGTTTGAGTATATTATCTGCATGCATGTAAGTGCACCCCATGTTGTGCAATGCCCACGAGGTAAGCAGAGGATGTCAAATCCCTTGGAACTGGATTTACAGATGGTTGTTAGCCATCATGTAGGTTCTGGGAATTGAGCCCAGGTCCTCTGCAAGAGCTGTCACTGCTCTTACTGACTGAGCCATCTCTCCAGCCCC